TCAAACACGTGCTAGCAGGCGGTCATTAGCATGATCATACCCGTTTCAATAATCACCTCACAGACTCTTTTGTATCTTGTATCCGGACCAGCCCCTTAAATATTATATTTCTGTAAAACCAACTGACTGCTGGAAACCCCCTTGCTTCGGTCTATTGGCATTTAACAGTATTTAAGACTGTATTATTTGGTGGAAAGTCCCAAAGTGGTCTTCTTCTATTTGGCCTTAAACAAGATATAATTAAGTCTTAATCAGTGAATTTGATAGCAAAAAAAGAGCATAAGCTAAGGTTTGTGCTCAAAAGCTCTTACAGAGAAGCAGCTGGGATTATATATCCTATTTTAAATATTTGATGAAAACACATTGTTGTATTACGCATTTAATACAAATCTATATTGACGTGTACTGAGCGTGCTGTGTGTGAAAGATGCCGAGCGTGTCTTCTTTTAAATCTTCATTAATATGTAATGTCTCTAAAACAGAGAATTAACATGGCGTTAGAAAGACCAAAGCATCAGATTGATATTATCGCCTATATACCTTTTTGTTTTATTGTAAATAGTTTTGAACAGCCATGCCTAATAAACCATTATAGGCAAATAAGTAAATAAACTTATTTTTGAAATACAAGCACTGCGAACAACATTCGTGCTAGAGGCCAGGTTTGTGACCCAGCAGCCACGCACACGGGCAGGTCATGAGAAGTGAAGGGAACAGTAAAGTGGTCTCTAAATTATGCAAAAACTCTGCTGAGCTCCACTCCTTAAATAACTTTATATGGAAGCATTTAAAGTGCAAAGGTTTGAGCAAGAAGCCTTAACTATAGGCCCTATCTTTCTTGTTCTATATTGATCGGTTAGGGTTGCATAACATGTTATTGTAAGCACTTTAGGTTAAGCTGATACTGAATAAGCAATTTGCACAGACATTTTAAAGGTATGGTATTGAAATATGGATTTAAAAGTGTTTTTAGAACATACTTTTTTAGGGAATGTGCAGCATTGATGGGAAATGGTTAACATACAATCAGTAACTTCCTAAGGTTAAAGGCAAACCAATGTTCTGTTTAAATCAGTGTAATAAAGTATGAGAATACCTAGATTCCCCCATCATTACACAGACTGCAGAAACATAGTTCCATATCGTAAATACCCAGTGTTTACCTCTTCAGTGCCCAACGCTGTACATATCCGGCATGAATCGCTGAAAGGTTTTGGGAAGCTTTGTTTCGTGAAAGGCTGGCAGAGGGTGCGGCCATAGCTCTGGGCGTGGCTACTGTGTATCTCTACATAGCGATACCCAGGAAGTAAATGAGAAATCTCCAACGAGGCGTTTTGGGGAGGTATTTTCTGTGTTAGAGTTTTACTCGCTACAGGGTGTACTTTCAGAGTTTTTGACTCTGCAGACCGTTTTCATGCATAAAAACCTTCATAACACACAAGGGGACGGGTAATAACCGGAAAAGCATGACATGGGACCTTTAATATCCACGTGTTTACATCTTTGTCTACACACAGGATTTTTAGCAAGGGCTATTGTCCCCTGATTGTCCTCGTTAACAACTGTTTCCTTTTACACGTATGTATCTACCTTCCAGTAGCTGCTCCAAATAAATACACTCCTGTATAGTTAGAGCTAGAGCCATATACTCAGCTTCACATGTGGAAAGCGCTACTGTAGGCTGTTTCTTGGTTTTCCAAGAGACTAGTGAGCTGTCCTTACCCGTGCTCACACAATACCCTGTCGTACTGCGTCTATCGGTTTTATCTTCAGCCCAATCAGCGTCACTATAAGCCTGTAGGCCTAGTTTCTCGCTGCTCTTTCTGAAACAAAGCTGTTTGTCTGCAGTACCCCTGAGATAACGCAAAACAGGTTTTACTGTAATCCAATGCAAAATATTGTGATAACTTGCTTACCACGAAACATAGGTCTGGACGTGTACAGGTAGTCAAATAAATAAGGCTGCCGACAGCCTCTCTGTATTTCTTAACATCCACCATTTTAGGTGCATCTTCAGTGTAGTCTAACTTTTGGTCACATGGTGTTTCTCTTACCCTACACTCCTGCATGTCAAAACGTTCCATTATCTTTTCAACATACCTCTTTTGTGACACTTTCACACAGCCGTCAGACTGACTGAAATCCATGCCCAGAAAATGATTTAACCTCCCCAAATCCTTCATCTTAAATTTTGTGGAAAGCATGTTTTTCACTTTCTCTAGAATCTTGGTGTTGCTGGTCTGCCGAGTTATGTGTGAAATTGTCACCTGTTAAGCATTCATGCAACATCGTATTCCAATTTCGACCTGACTGCTTCAGGCCGTAAATTGACTTATCTAGCTTACACACTAGCTGTTCTCCCTCCTTTACATAACCCTCAGGTTGTTCCATGTAAATGTCGTGATCGATGGGAGCATGCAGGTAGGCCGTCTTTACATCCATCTGGTGTAAAATCAAATCTTCTTGGGCTGCCTTCTGCATTAATACACGTACACTTGTCAGGTTGGCTGTTGGTGAGAACATCTCCCCATAATCTATCCCCGCCCTCTGACTGTATCCTTTTGCTACGAACCTAGCTTTGTCCTTGTCGTGTCTGTCAACGTCTCCTTTAACTGAATAGACCCATTTACCTCCCACTGTTTTCCTGCCCTCAGGCAATTTTGTCAGGGTAAACGTCTGATTGTGTTCTAGAGACTTAATTTCCTCATCCATGGCTTTTCCCCAGTTTTCTGACTCAGTCGATGTCATGGCCTCTTTAAAGGTCAGAGGTACACCGCAAACTGCTCTGTAACAACAATCTACACTAGTGAGTGTTTTATCATCCTCATCACTATCTTCCTGAGTATAATCTCTCAAGTACTCTGGGGGTTTGCGCTACCTACTGGGATATCTCCCACTGTCTGAGGCATGTGACGCCACCCTAGGGTGCTGTTCGCCATCATCCTCTGGTGCTGTCTGTGGACCGTTAGTCTGTACATCTGTGCTCAGTACACTAGGCTGTGGGGCCTTTACTCCCTCTTCACAGCCTTCCTCCAAATCCTGTTCTAGCCTCTGTGTCTGAGTCTCGCGATCACAAGTTGTGCTGGTGACAAACTTTACTAGTCTGTGCTTCTGCACCTTCTCTTTGTCGGGGTAGTAAACTAGATAGGCGGGGCTTCCCTTGTCATGCCCTACAAAATGTCCTTTCAAAAAGAGTGTGCCCTTCTCTTTCTGCTGTCCCGTTTTGATGTGGGGAATAAAGACAAGAAGTCTCATGTCTCTGCCCTTATTTGGAGCAGGCTGGAACAGGCGGGAGTTGAACTCTGACGTCACTGTCGAGCCGTTAGTGGCCGACTCCGCCTACTAAGGGCTTCTCGGCAACTCTGCAGAATCCTATGGGTGACGTCACGGACCCTACGTCCATTTGTATATACAGTCTATGTATAATACACATCTCTGCTTCTCCTCTGCCTTGCGCCACCCCGAAGGTACGCCTCCCGTCTGCCAATTCCATGCTGTGTCTCTCCGGCTTGAAGGTGCTGTCAAAAATCTTGAATTTGTTCTTATCGTTGATGATGTGGGACGACACTCCCGTGTCCACAATTAATCCTTTTCTGTGGGTCTGTAGTTGCTGTATCTGTAGGCGGGTCTCTTCAGCTTGCACTTTGAGGGTGTATTCATCTTTTCCCGCAGCTTCTCCGGTACCATCTGGCATGCTCGCGCACCGAACGGCATCACCGCGGTCCTTCTTTGCACGCTTTGTCTGTGTGCCCTTTGTTTTTACAAAAGCTACACCAGACTTTCTTGTTGCAGTCATCCATTTCGGTGTCCCTTCTCTCTGCATCGCCAACACGTGCCAACGCGTTCTCCGTCGCCATCGGGATTAATCGTTTGGCAGGCTTTCTCTTTGTCGCTGCTCTGACCCTCAGCACCCTCTCGCTCGTCTCGTCTGAGGCTGGGGCTGAATGTTCTGAGGCCTCGAAGTTCCTCAACTTCGCCTTGAACTGTTACTTCAGTGTCACCGTGTGTCACCATTAGTGTGAACGGCATGTATTTTTCGGGTAATCCCCGCATTACCATCGCCATCATTAGTCCCTCACTCGGTGCTTCTCCCGCGCTCCTGAGTGCCGTAATGATCTGCTCAGCTCGGATAATGTACTCTGTCACCGTCTCATTATCAGCTTTCTTCTGCGCAGTCATGGTTATGTGGTGACAATCCGGGGCCTGTCTTTTCCAATGTCTTGCTCCCGTAATACTCTGAGACTTTCTCGGCCCTTGTCCTTCGTGTCTCAGTCCTAAACTGGTATTGTCGAGTGGCGGCGCTAACTCACAATTGAGCCCTCAGTGCCGCGGTCAGCTCTCCAGTGGGTGCTCGAAGGATGGTCTCCTTCAAATCCCACTCCGTGCATGCAACACATCCCCTCTTCCCAGAGCTCATGCATTTGTAGCTTCAGTAGCTTAGCTTAGTTCCTTGTTAGCATAGCTTTAGCTTCCCTCGGTTCTCCCAATTATAAACTAGCTCAACACGTGGCTAACTAGCTACTCTTATGCTAACCGTGCTAACAGGCAATCTTCTCGCCTCGTTATCGCACGCGTGCTACGAGCTGTAGAATAATTCATCGTATCTGGGCCCATAACCTGTTAGCAGATTTAGACTTATACCTTGTGTCTCTCTGCAGCAGAAAGGTGACTATTCTCACAGTTCAAGTTTAGCCATTGATCTCGGCGTTATTTATTAGATGGTCAAGAGACTTGAGGACTGAAAAATAAGGGGCGTGACTCCAACTGTCATATACCCCAGGTAGTGACATCACAATCATGTGCTACAGCGCTACCCAATGAACACAGTAGTTCAATCAGGAGAGACGTGATGTATGGAATACATATTTATTATCGGTCACATTATATAAATGAAACATAATGATGACAGTTGACAAGTGAATGAAATGGTGTTTTGGCGATTGGGCCCAGGTTTTGTAGGATATCAATCGGGAAGGGAAGAACCGTTTCCGATTAACCCCCCTGGGTCTAGACACTGGTGGTGGTGATAAGTGTTTAGGTCTGGTTGGAAGGGAGAAGGTTAAGCTTGGCCCTGAGTTGAAAGCAGAAGGTGAAGGGGTGGAGGAGGGTTGCGCGTTGACACCTGGAAGACAGCTGATAGGAAAGGGGAGAGCATATATAGAGGGATTAACAGGTGCGATAATTAGGCTTGTAAATGGAGGGGAGTGATAGGTTAGCTGAGGAGTGGCGCTCCCTGTCATTTAGTGCAGGGAGCGAGTATTGCCATGACGTGCAATACGGAGTGATAGGTCTTCCTGTCTGAACTTGCACTAAGCTTCATTTCAATCAGGAGAGACGTGATGTATGGAATACATATTTATTATCGGTCACATTATATAAATGAAACATAATGATGACAAGTGAATGAAATGGTGTTTTGGCGATTAGGCCCAGGTTTTGTAGGATATCAATCGGGAAGGGAAGAACCGTTTCCGATGAACCCCCAAAAGAATGAAGTATGAAGTACTGAACGTGAAGAATCTTACCTTGTGGGATGCAGTGGAAATCTATGGATGGAAATGAGAGGTTAATACATGTGAGAATTTAAACATCTGATGCCTCCCGGGCATCCTTCCTGGACATACAGGGCTTCCCAAAAGGACGGGGCATCCCGGACGTACGGGGCATCCCGGACGTACGGGGCTTCCCGGACGTACGGGGCATCCTGGACGTACAGGGCGTCCCGGACATACGGGGCATCCTGGACATACAGGGCATCCTGGACATACAGGGCATCCTGGACTTACAGGGCGTCCCGGACGTACGGGGCATCCTGGACATACAGGGCATCCTGGACATACAGGGCGTCCCGGACGTACGGGGCATCCCGGGCGAACGGGGCATCCCGGACGCACCGGGCGACTCGACGTGCGGGGCGCCCGGAACGTGCAGGGCTTCCCGAACGAGCGGGGCAACCTGCGTTAGCAGGGACACATTTATACAGACCCGAAGGTTTTACAACCTGGACATACAGGGTTAGATATGCAGGAATAAACATGAGCCGCGGGGCGACATACGTGCTGACATGCTAGGAACCACCACCAGTTATATGCATACGTACCAATTTTAAGGTTGGAGAGACCTTTGGATAGCCAGCACGGCATTGAGGTCAGGGCGAATGTAGGATGAGAAAGCGGAGGAGGACCACCGTCCGAGTTGTTGCAGGGATAAGGATGAGACACCTTGATTAGCAGCGGAAGTAGCTGCGCATATTCTAAAGGAATGCCCCGTGTATAGAAGGGGTGATAACCCGGATTTAATGAGGACTTGTTTTAAATAGATATTGAACTGTCGTTGAGTTAAAGGAAAATTCCCTGAGATAAGGAATAATGGTGAGAGAGGATTAGAGGTAGGTCTAAGCTGTAGGAATTTGATCATGGATTTATAAGGGCAGAACTGGGAGTCGATGCGGGCGGCGATGACGGAGCAGGCGCCGCCGCATTTGGAGTGTTTAAGATATAAGCTAAAGTGGCTAGCGTGAAAGGATATGTCAGAAAAGCTGACGTCCCGATTGGAATCAAATGTAAGGGAAGCTGTGGTAAATTCACCTGGTCTGAGAAAGGCATAAAAAGCTAGGAGAAATAGAGCATCGAGTAGCGCATCGATATAAGGGGAGAATAACCCACTTCTAAGTTTGGAGAGCATGAGGCTTAAAGTGGAGAGTGTAATAGGGCGTCTCCGGTCTAAGACGGGGGGAAAAGTTTTAATGAGACCTTTGAGGATGAGTTTGACTGACTGGTTTGCGAACAGGCTGGGAAAGCCGGGATCGGAACAGCGAACGTTAAACTGCACTCCTGCTAAGAGGCCCCGGATGTATTGGGGTTTGAGGTGGCGATCAGTGGCGCAGTAGCACATGAAGGCACACACGTTGGAGATGAGAACAGGTTTAAGTGTGATGCCTACGGAAAAGCAAAACATCGCGAACGTTCTCCAAGCGAAATCATATGTTTTGAGGGTGGACGCGGCTAAGCCCTTCCTCATAAAAAACCTGGCTGATTCGAGGTGCCTTTCTAGGGGGCTTCTATTTAGGAGAGAGAGAGGAGATGCAGGGGAGGAATCCTGACGGGTTGAGCGCTGGCTCCTGGGCAGAGGTTCCGGAACGTCTGGAAATGGAAGCGAGAGAGGTAATCAGCCACTGAGTTAAGGTGGCCGGGAACGTGACGAGCGGAGATGAGGAAGTTGTGGGTGATGGAAGACCACGTGATGCTTCTCGGCATGATGTCACGGCACGGGGAGCGTGCTTTGTTAATAATCCCGACCACTGATTGGTTGTCACAGAGTACTGAGATCCGCTTCCGGGGCCAGAGGTGACCCCACACGTGGCAGGCAACAGCGATCGGAAAGATCTCATGCAGAGCGGAGGAAGAGGCATGGCTGGGGAATGACGGAGGCGTTGACACCTGGAAGACAGCTGATAGGAAAGGGGAGACCATATATAGAGGGATTAACAGGTGCGATAATTAGGCTTGTAAATGGAGGGGAGTGATAGGTTAGCTGAGGAGTGGCACTCCCTGTCATTTAGTGCAGGGAGCGAGTATTGCCATGACGTGCAATACGGAGTGATAGGTCTTCCTGTCTGAACTTGCGCTAAGCTTCATTAGTCGCAGCTACTTATACAAACAATATGGTACACAGTATTACATGGAGTCATACAATATACATGTCTCTGTATGTTATACCTCAACAGTAATGATAATAAAATGCTTAGTAAATATTGGTCATAATATTAATAAAAACAACAACGTTTGGGTTTGTTCGTTTATTATGATGGTAAAGTTAACCAGTAAGCTTCAATAATCAACTCCAGCTCAACAAACCATATTGCAATATCTACGTTAACGTTATTTCTGGGACCATCTGGAAATGTGAGATTCATATTTTTTAGATACACAGATCTTATAGTGAGGTTAATCTCATGTAGCCTACAGCAGCGGTTCCCAAACGGTGTGCCGCGGCACACTGGTGTGCCGTGAGGCAAGTCCGGGTGTGCCGTGGGATTTTGTGACAACCATACGTTATTATTGCAAAAATAATTACTTTTTAATTTACTATATCAATATATATCACGTAATCTGCGCGACTTGTGCGTCCACATCTCCACGTGCAGTGCTGCATAAACATGGCTGAGTCAGCGATAACTTTCGAGGGGTGGAGGTATGCCCATTATTTTGAGTTCGTCCGAAGAATAGACAGGAATGTGACGGTGAGGTGCAAACTGTGTCCAGGCCAGAAGCTGTTATCCATTGCTGTAAACACTAGTGATGGCAGTTTGACACTGAAGCTTCGAACGGAGCTTCAACCCTGGACTTCCTATTCCATAGAAGCAGTGCTTCGAAGCTTGCTTCAAATCACGTGACATATGACGTCCGAAGCAGCAACTGCTTCAAATCACGTGACATGTGACGTCCGAAGCAGCAACTGCTTCATTTCCTGAATGAATCACTTGACTGGTTCGCGGTCCATTCACGCGATTCAATGCACTGCCTCGTCTCGATTCTGACAGGTGACAGGTTGAAACAGTTTAAAATGTGAGCGCTTCAACACTTTATGACCGCTCTGAACAATGCGCAATGTGTGGGTTGTTGTCTTAGTTTGCGTTGTTGCTGTTGAGTTGTTGTTGGTATTGCATTTGAATTGTAGTATCATTATAGAGAGCAAGCCAGGAAGAAAGATAGGTCGTTTTGGCTCGGGAAACACTTCGAAATGTGGAGAAGTTGTGAACAAAAAGACAATTATGAGTAATATAAAAACAGTTCAATATTTTAAGGAATAGATAGCCCAGTGGATTGAGCCGGCGGCCCGAATGCAGCGATGTCCTCCGCGCAGCTGGTTCAAAGCCCGGAATGGATGTATCTTAATCATTGCTTTTCAACTTTAATAACTGATAAAAGGCCCTCTCCTCCCAAAAAAATTTCCAGCACTCTCTAGTCTCTTCTCAATAACCCAATACACACAATTATCAATCTTTAATTGCAAATAGAACATGATATTCAATTCAGTCTTAGTGTGTGTGTGTGCATCGAATATTTTTCAAGGCAAAGATACGTTAAACCCACTGCAGCCTTGCACTTCGCCAGGAGAGGGCGCTGTAACTGAAGCTTCGAGAAATGAACCTATTTCCGACACAATTGTCCAAGTGGTTCGATGCTCCATTCAAAGCTTCATTTTGCCATCACTAGTAAACACCACGTCAAACCTCAACAAAGACCTGCAAAGAACACATGCTAAGGTGAAGCTACCGCACACGTTATTTGTTGTTTGTTTATATCACGTAGTCTGTTCTTCTTCTCTGTTTTCCGGTTGTTGTCTGTTTTGAATGACAAATACACACTACCGCCGCCTGCTGGTAAGGAAAGTTATTGCCACTCACGCATGCGCAGTTCGTACGTGCTCGGCGAGTAAAGTAACGAGTAAAGTAACAAATTACTTTATGTAGATAGTAACGAAGTAGTGTAATATATTACTTTTTTTAAAGTAATATGTAATATATTACTTTTTTTAAAGTAATATGTAATATATTACATTTTTTAGTAACGACCCCATCTCTGGAGTTGGCGTTCTCTACTCTGATTTACATGAAGAACAACAGGAGGTCACGGCTCTCTGTTGAACAGGACTTGCGAGTGGCCCTCTCCTCAGTGCCACCAAGGATTAAAAAATTCTGCGTGCCCCGACAGGCACATGTATCTCACTAATTTGTAAGTCGGCAAAATATTTACAATAGCACATGTTTCAATGCTGATTGCTGAAATGTTACATTTATAATTTGTAGTTCAGGATCATGGACAATGCAGCTTCCTTGCATTGACAGTTCTCTGTGCTGAATTTCTGCTGAGTTTCCTTTGCCTCATTTTTAATGTTGTGACCTGTCTGGTTTAAATGAGTGTGTTGCTGCTTTGATGAAGCCTAATTTGATAAAGTTTCAAATTAATTTCTGAAATATTTCGTTAATAAATATTTCATGAGTAATATAGTTGTCTTTGTCACATTTTATTTGGCATTAGTAAATAATTATGCACATTTACAGATATTTTACATGATATGAGTGATAACACGTGTTATAAGGGCTATTTTGCACAATAGGTGTGCCTTGAGATTTTTACTTGTCCTTTGGTGTGCCGTGGGCACAAAAAGTTTGGGAACCACTGGCCTACAGTACGCTGCTCTTCAACACTAATGTGACGTTAGCTGTCTGCATCGTCGAGCATAGCGAATTTAAATCAACAATATCAATGCATACAGTTACCTAACTAGCAAACTAACTAATGTACGAGGATGACCTTAGTATACCAACCTCACACAGAAGCTGTTTGTTCTACAGAATAATCGTTCTTAATGTTTTACACTTCTCTAATGGCGCGTTTCCACTGCAGCGGGTAGCTCGCTTTAAGCGTGCCGAGCCGTGTGGGGCCCGTTTTTGGTTGCGTTTTCACTTGGCCTAGTACCGGCTAGCGGGTCCTAATTCACAGTTTTTCTGGCCCCATAAAATCGTGGTTCTAGGGCCAGGAACAACCAGGCTGAGTCGGGCTGAGTATGCTAAACTAGAGAGAGAATCGCTGGCAAGGGGGCTACAACTACAACAAGATGAACATATTTGACCGTGATTTAATTGTAATACACGTTTCAAAATTATACCGAAGTAACAACATACTGATACCGGTTAGTAAAAACCATGAATTAATGCTTTGACAAGTCTGCAGACAGACGGCAGGCGAAAAACCCTTTTAAAATGCGTGTTTTCTAAATGGAGCTTGGCTAAGCTAACGTTATATGTGCTCCGACCGTCCACACTCACAACAACGGCCTATACATATATAAATAAACCAGCGACTGTATTCGCCATGACACAGGCAGTCTGTGGTTTGTACTTGTTTAACTTTTGTCTAGTTTCTGAACAGATATGAAGAGCTGTGAGCTCTGAGTGCTAAGAGCTAACGGCTGTGTTGTTTTTCTGGGGCGCTCATTGAAGATGATGTCACGGCTCCGCCTACACTGCATTACTATAGTAACTACCCCAGTTCCTAAACTGTAATGGAAGCACAGCATTAAAGTGAGCCGGGCCTAATAAGGCCTAACCAAACCGTGCGAGGCCGAGCGAGGCCTGCAGTGGAAACGCGCCATAATATGTTTGAACTTGTATGCTACGGATAGCATCATTA